ATGTCAACTTCTTGTCTCGCCTTGCCCTGCTGCAGGTCTGGCCTGACGAAGCTAATTTTGTGTGTGCGCGCACAGTGTGTGCGCATCGAATGCAAACTATCGAAGGTCCTCGGACACTGCGGGCACTGAAAACTGTGCTGTTCAGGGTAGACGGGCTTATGGGATGTGTTGGTCTGCACGGGGTTGAGGTAAGAATGATGCACAGTCTTCTGCCACTGTATGTCTTCTGCAATGCCAGGGTAGGTGTCGCGGCATGACATCAGCGCATCGAGTCGGCGTTTGGAAGCATCGACAAGAAACACTGAGATACTAGTGTAATGTAGCCGCTGGAAAATGACCTCCGCCGACTCGCCTTCTTCTTTCCGTGGATTGCCACTGATGCAACGCACGTGGTGGGCCTCTAAGCTAGTGAGCCTCTTAAGGGCCTGAGAAGAAGTGCCGACCACGGCTAGTCCGTAGCTAATGGTGCTTCGTACACAGGTGCGATACACTCTTAGGCGATGTTGGAGGCTGAGGCCCTGCTTCTTGAAAAGAACACGGCTGAGCCTGGCTACAGCAGTCTTGGCTTGTTGTATGCGGAGGTCTGCCGTTTGGGTCTCGAAGGCATCAAAGGACATGATGGTACCGAGGTAGGGTATGCGGGTGGCGAGTCCAATGTCAATGGGCTGAAAGGGGGTCCCAAGCCTAATGAGCTTCTGGTCTTTACGTTTAAAGGTACGTGCCTTCACCCACTTGGCAAGTGCTCGGCCCGACGAGCGGATGAGCAGCTGGGATTTGTCCGGATTCACTTGCATCTTGGCTTCGCCCAAAACTGCAAACAAGCAACCGATGCGGGTACACATGTTGGTGAGGTCCTGTTGGTTGTTGAGATCAAACGATGCTAAGAAATCATCTGCGAAGGCTGTCACGGCTTGTGAAATCCAGGGCTCTGGCGGGCCAAGGTGCGAGAACTTGGCAAGGCGCTCCGAGAGCTGATGCAACAGGAAATGTGACACACATACCCAAAGCAGCGGTGACAGTGTGCATCCCTGTCGTATGCCGTTGCGCAAGGATATGCAACCAGTGTGCCCTTTATGTGTGACATGATACTGGGTGCGGTGCAAGGCAAGAACCATGTGGATGGTGTTTTCGGCGATTTCGAGGTGTCGGAGGGCTCGGGCTAAGTACACGTGGGGCACCAAATCAAACGCCTTGCTCATGTCTAGGCTTAGCAGGGCGCCTCCCGAGATGGGGACACGGGTTTTGCCAGCCTTCCTGTCGCGGACTTCGATACGTGCGCTGCAGATTTTGTCGCGTATGTGCGCGCAAAATCGAGCTGCTCGGCTGATCGCACAGGCGGTGCTGCGGGAGGGGAGGTATGCGAACTGCGGTGTTTCGGCTAATTTCCCTAAGATTTCGGCCTGGATGCGTGCTTTAAGGGTTCGGGCGATGCATTTGCCGAGCGGGTCTTGTAGGGCGATCGGTCTGAGGTTGGGGGCGCATGTGGGAGGTTTGGTGGGCTTAGGGAGGGGCTTAAGCCAACAATCAGTCCAAAGGCTAGGGAACGTCAACGGCCCCGCACCGAGGCGGTGGTTTATGAGGGGGAGGACGTGCGGGGCAATGGTTGAGGCGAGGTGTTTCCAAAGTTCGGGTGGGGCCGACCCCGGGGGAATGGCTCGGCCGCCTCTTTGCATCTGCAGCGCCTTTAAAAGCTCCTCGAGGGAGAGCGGGCACGGTTGCGTGAGGCAGCAAGCTGTGGGCGGGTGTGCGGCATCCCGGCAGAACACCTCCGTGAAATGTTTAAGGATGGCTTCGTGTTCGGCCTGGGGGGAGAGGAGTTTACCATCTGAGGTTCTGATGTGTATGCGTTCTCGGGGGCCTTTCGGGGAGAGCTTACGGACGTGGAAATAAAGTTTATGCATGTCGCCTGCTTTGGCTGCAGCCTCGGCTGCCTCAAGCTCCTCTAGGATTGCAGCCTTGCGCTTCGCAAGGCCGCGTTTGCGCAACTCGCGGCGCGCGCTCTGGAAACGCGCGTGCGCCCGAAGGATTGCAAAGGTATTCTGCAGTCGGGTCAAAGCTGGGTTCCAGGTCTTAGCCGATTTAAACTGTCGGTAGGCAACCCACATGGAGCTTACGGTGCATCGAACCTCCGTGCTCTGCCCCGGCCGCGGCTTAGGCAAGCACTGCTGCAACGGAAAGAGGGCGGCACAGCGCCTCAGAAGGATGGCGTTGAACTCCTCGGGGTCGGTGGGCCTGGCAGCACCGAGCTCGTGGTGAACTTCATGTGTCAATTGGTCAAGCACCGGGTCCTTACACTTGATGGCTTCACGAAGCAGCTGCCGCGAAAAGGGCAGCGGTCTTTGGGTGGCTTCAGTGCCAGCTGGCGCAAGCCGGGTATCAACACGAAGGCTGGCAATCAGCGCGAAGTGGCGGCCGCCTCCACGCCAAGGCGCGAAGTTGATGTCGCGGTCAGCTCGGGCCCGCTTGGCCTGCATGTCCGTGTGTGGCAAAGAGGCAAAGACGAAGTCTATCTGGCTACGTTTTGGGACCTGACCGTCAAGCCGATAAGTAAAAGCGTCCTTGGCAGGACCCCAGGTGTTTAAAGCACATAGGTTGGCTGAGGTAACAGCCTGCTCGAAATCCGCAGAGTCGGGGTACGTAAAGGCAGCCGGGTGCAAGCCTGGGCCCGTATGTCTGGATGGAGCCTTGAGTGCACAGTTAAAGTCTCCTGCGATGCACTTAATGTTGCGGGCCGGCAGGCCTTGCACGAAGGTGGTGAACTTCCTCCAGAATGCCTGGCGTTTGTCCATGCGTTTCTTGAGCGGGTCTGCATCCCAAGCCCACTGGTAACAGCAAGCAACATCCATGTGCCGGGCTTGGCGGTCGCGGCCTATCGGAAGTCTTACATGCAGCAGCCGTCCGGGAACAACAATGCAATGCTGAAGCGAGGCTTCGGCAGCGATGCGTGTGGAGACGAGCACTGCTACACCTGCCCAGCGGTGGCCGGGGTCAGGTGAGCTGATCACAAACCATCCCGGCAAAGTGTACTCGCTGGGTGCCTTGCCTAAACCGAAGTGTGTTTCTTGCAGCAGGATGAGGTCGAAGCGGTGACCGTTGGTCTGCGGTAAATGTGTCATATGAGGCAGTACAAAACCCCCCTACATTAAAGGAGCAAACCCCGAGTCTCTGGCCCGCTGCCTGGCGGCAAGCTTGGCCACGGCGCTGAGTCAGAGCTGGGCTATCCTGCAATGGTGGTTTGCAGCCAAGGCCGGCGGCGGTGCACAATCGGCCTTTGT